GCCGGGGATGCCCAAGGACCTGGCGAAGGAAGATGAGCAGACCTCGGCCCCAACGATCTTAGCAAAAGGCTGGGAAACAATGTCTTTGTCATCTGACCTCAATCGGCCCTCAGACTGATAAACACACTTAGCCTGCTCCAGACCTCAGAACAGATAGGCCGGCCAGAGTCAGCCTGAGGCGAAGCTGGCTCAAAGCATTGGAGGCTGGAGGCAGCAATCTGACGGTAGCCTCAAGCATGCCCAGCATCGGGCCAACAGCGATGAACAGACTGGGCCCACATAGGCGTGCCTCGGCCCACATCCGCCCCGCCTATCGATAACCTGCCTATCCTTATCTGGCCCCTTATATTAACCCTGGCAAGAAAGTAGGAATCAGTGGCAGGCAAGGTCGCCGGGTCAAGACGCAACAAGCCAAGAATATCCCAAAGTAAGGCTAAGGCAGCAGTCTGAGAAGGGCTTTCCTTAAGTCCAGACGGGCTTGGAGTGACGAGGCGGCCTGACTCCATGCAACAGAGCGCGTGGCTCCACGTGGGCCACGCACAGGTCATCAGACAAGTGTGGGCTGGGATCCCAAGATTGGAAGGCAGCTGACCCAAAGCTAAAGAAAATTAACTCCTGAGTNNNNCCCCTACATCCAGAACAATTAAATCCTGATGTACTTGTTCCAGTACGTCGTGCTGCGCCTTCCCCACACCCCGCACGTGCACAACTGAACCATGATTTTAATTGTGCGCTCTGGGGAGCCCCTACATCCAGATTATATCCTGATCTGATTGTTCTAGTAGGTCGCGCAGCGCCTTCCCATGCACCACACGTGCACAATTAAACTATGACTGAACTGTGCCCGAGAGTAAGGCGAGACCAAACAGTTAAATCGTGATTTAACTGTGGATTGAAATGTCCAATAAATTCCGCGGAAGCATAGCCCAGGGGAGGAATTACATCACAATTTACTTATTAATTCAAGACGTTTACGGGTTCCAGGACCGCGGAATCCTCCCGGGCTTGGTTTTGCAATGACGCGTGCGTCGGCCTTCTGGTGCGTTAGCTTCACTACCAAAAACCCACCACCAACCCTCGGGCCCCTCCAAAGGTTTACACGGTAGTGGTTTCACTTGCTAGCGGTTGCTAGCTCTGAAAAATGCCGCACGTAGTAAAGTTGCAGAAAGAAACACACAAACTCTTGCGCTAGCACTTTACCTCGCAGCTACCTAACAGCGCAGAGAGCTTGCGTTAGCACTTTACGGCAAAGCCCAGGCTAAAACTCGCTGACAATCTTTTTAGCACGGCAGCGCTCTCGTTTTCAAACTGAGAGCCGCCTCTAGCATTCCGCTAGCCAGACTCTCGTTGTAGCCCAAGAGAAGTCTCTAGCTTTCAGCTAGCCATCTCCCAGCTACAGGGCGGATTTGAAGCGTCACTGCCGCAGATGAGGCACGGGAATACCTGCAGCGTAGCAGTACACACAAGACTCAGCAAGAAAAGGAGAGGAATGACAAATGGTATCTGTTCTCCAACGGACCCACTGCGCGGCCGGCGCAAAGCAGTGTAAGCGCCACAGCGAGCAGGCTCAGCCAAATCTGCACAACGCAGGACGATATACACGGTAGGGCGCAAGCCAACAGCAGCAGAAAGCAAGGGAGTACCCCACCTTCGTTCCAACACTTCTTTGGCCCAAAGGCCTGCAACCCAAGCACGCTTTGCCCTTTCAACCCTTGAAAGCGAGGGAGGAACCAACAGAGTCAACAGAAGGCGGGTCCAGAAAGACAACAAGCAGATGAAGCGGACCTCTCAGTCGCAATACGCAAGCGCTCGAGCGCGGTCTGAACCTCAGCGACGGCGGCGCTCAGGTCAAGCTCACCGCTCACCTTGGGGAAGCCGAGTGCTCCCACGCAGGGCCCCCGTCCGTTCTGGGCAGGATTACGGCCTGACATCTGGGTTGAAGGGGAAGTGGAACAAAAACAAGCTGGCTCACTGAAAGAGCTTGTTATCAGTCTTGCTGCGAGGGTACCGCAGGATCACAAACGAAGTTCATAGAGCTCTCTGCTTCACTGAGGCTTCTGCTGGGGACCTTGCTAGTATTTTGGAGGAACTTCCACTTTCAGTCGCCGGAGCGGTAGCATTGAATGATGTGCAACAGGCACTGGAGAATTGCCAGGATGATCACTTTTAGCATGTACAGGGCCAACTTTGGTTCCTTTGCTCTTTGCGACGCATTTTTGTCATGGATAATGCTGAATTGTGGGATTCCAAGTATGCTGCGCTTTAAGCGCGTGCGTGTTTGAATTTGTCACGCAAAGGACTTTCAGGCTATGTTGAAACAGAAACAGAAAAAAGCCCTTAACCATGATTGCAACAACCCCTCAAAACCTGAGCCATCACCCTTATCCCTAAACCACACTCTAAACCATGAACGCCCATGCAAACATTTCGTGGTGTGGAACTGCTTCAGGCATACTTGGCACTCTGCACCGCCTATGTGGCCCACCACCTCCGATGGCAACTTATGAATTTTGGCCCGGTGGCCACCCAGGGCAGCTTTATTATTGAATGCTTGACCACAAATGTCACAAGCAACGGATTCACCTCAACAACTCCTTTAGCCAACGCGTCTGTCCTGAGCTTGGCTTTCTGCAGGACTTGTGCTCCACCTTGCTCACGCATGGTCAGCACCTGTTTCTTGAATGCTTTCAAGAGGTTCTTGACTTCATTTCGGCGGCCTAAAAGGCCGCTGCGCCGTCAATGTAAAGAATTGCCCCAGACTGCTTTATTTGCGCAAGCTTGCGCGTGTGTAATTTTGTGATCGCAATGGGGTAATCAAGTGAAGAACCAGGCCGAGATCCACCTTGTCCACTGCGAAAACAAGGCACCAAACTTGTCAACAACTTCTGCCTCAACGCCTTAGCGATTCCCTTCATGCTGGACTCCAAGAGAGCAATGGACCTCCAGGCCTCAACAGTGCCCAAAGGCTTAGCAGGCTTTGGATACGGCACACACCAAGCTTTACGCTGCCACGCAAGTGGAGCAACGCCGGCCATGGCCATCTTCAACATCACCGAAAAGAACACTGTTGCCAGACTTGAGTGCGTTGACAGAGAAAACCTTCGACGGAATCCCAGCCAATCCTGCGGCCTTGCCACATTTCATCTGCTTAAAAGCCTCGGCAAGTTCAATGATGTTAGGCAAGCACCTGCAAGTCAACAACATGGCTGTCAAATTGAATATCAACCGGGCAAACTTCCCTCTCCGCGTCAACTTGGCGCCGCAAAACCCCTTTGTCATGCTGAGCAAAATGTTCACCAAGAGCTTGCAAGGTTTGGTTGGGGTCAGCTTCCCAATTCCCATCAGGACGAAGAAGCAAAGGCGACAACTTGGGAGTTCTGAATTTTCTGCCGATTTTGAGGATGCCCCTAAGTAACGCCGCCAACGGCGCAGCTCCCTGTGCTTTGGCAGCCTCAAAAGATCTGCGCACATGCTCGGCTTTGTCACGCTCAAGGCACTCACGCAGATCTATGGAGATCCTACGTATGTCCCTGGCAACCCTTGCAGCATTGATGTGTTTGCGCGACGGTCCACCAACCCGACTCAAGTCAACACAAACCGATTTCCAAGCACCAAACCAACGCGCCAACACATCCTTTCTCAAGGCCCTAACGTGTAACGCAAGGTGTTCCTTTGAGCATGTTTGGCCCTAATCAAGTTCCAGGACTCCTCAGTGATGAAATCCTGCCTTGGCACTGATTTTGGCTTAGGGAAAACCTGCACCAACTCCCGTCGCAAGCAATCGCGCACTATTTCGATATGCGTGTTGACGTCTAACGTCCAAGGGCAACAAGGAACTTTGTCAAACACAGCTGCTGATTTCCACTTGTTACATCCTGAAGCGACCTATTCTGCACAATTGTGACCTCCGCCAACAGAGGTCTGTGATCCCAGCCTGACGTCATGGTGACAGCGTCTTGAGGCTGACCTTTGGTCCTCAACGCGGGGCCCCAACTGAGCGGCAACATTACGTATTCAAGAACATCTTCCTTACGCCGAGGGCTCACCCAAGTAACAACAGGTCTCCCTTCAGTGTCAACATGCTGGGTGGAGGTCAAACCAAAAACTTGCTCACTGTATCTCATACGCTTCGCGTTTCTGTTAGCCGGCTCCCTACAATCACACGTATCAAGGGTATACCTAGCGTTGGCGTCAATGAAAATCAAGGGACACGTCGACTGCTTGAGACTAGCAAGCAAAGCTTTAAACTTTGCCCACCATGCATCAATGACATCGCATGAGCAGCAATCAGAGCACATGACACGTCACCCATCTTGACAAAATCGCAGAGCAGACGAGGCTCGCAAGCACCAACCGCGCAAGTTTCGAGGTTCCACACCGAGCCTTTGCGTAACCACACATTACATCCCAACTGCCCATTAACTCCAGCACTGGAAAACACGCGAAAACCGTCACTGTCCTTGACCTCCTTTTCGATTCCCCTGGTTTCCTGCAAACCTATGGCATGAACATCATTGCGCAGACACATTCTTTCAATGGCCTCCTGTGAGCGTCGTCCGTGATGGACAAGGTATGGCAGGTGACAAGTTTCAATGAGAGTGGATGCACACACTTCTTGGGAGACGCATGCATCTCAACCTGGCCGTTAGCCCCCTACCCTGTCTGCGATTGGCTGTAGCCAAGACCCGGATTTGCCTCCGCGCTGCTGTGATCTTCTGAAGGGCCTCCTCCTCTTTAGCCCGATAAGCCTCCATTCGCTCTGCATGGTCGGTCGAGGCCTCCCTTTTCTAGCGCCTCCGCAGTATTTTGAAAGAAGGTTACCCACGCAGCTTCCTGCGATAGCATGGCAGCTCGAATTCACTGGAGCTGTTTTCGGGCAGCACCCCGCTGACGGGTGCGAGAGTGTAGATCCTTCGTCTGCTGCTTTGTCGCGCATCCTTCTACCTTTGCTACCATCTCCGCTACTTCTTGTGGCATGGTGGCGTTTGCATACGCAATTTTCAGGGCTCCGACCAGCGCCTGGACTTGAGCACCTTCTGGGCGCGCCAGTGTTGATCATCTGACTGGCGGCGCTGCCTGATGGCAACCACGGCGGCGTGGGACTTGTCCATGTGGGTCTCTGGTATGTGGATGGCTGCGCCTTCCCTTTGCTCTTTGGCCCTTGCCAGGCACCTTGTCCTTTTGCCTGCCCCCCACCACGCTGCTTCGACCAATTTATGTGTGAGCCATCTCCCCACAGTTGTTGCAGTCGTCTCGGCGATACCCTCCGGCGCGGCGACTCCGATCTCTAGCCACAGACGGCACCGTGCCACGGCGCCGGCTGTCCCTGTACTGTAGACACACTGTAGACCAATGTGCTCCACAAGATAGAATAAGTAGCCGTACCTTTGCACCACTGCTTGCAATTTGTGCAGTACCATGACATGTTTCCCTGACTCATGATGCAAAGAGCTTGCTGCGGCAGCCCCGACTTCGAATGGTGACTCCCAAGCACACCAATCGCTCTTTCCACTTGCTCCTGTGGTGCCGGAAAGCCTGCACAGTAGTTGCGAAGCAAAGTCCGGCTTCGAGTTCGGCTTCGCCTCCGTCTGCGATGCACCGAACTCTCTCTGCAGCGGTCCGTCCGATGGACTTGTATCCCCTGAGTAGCTCCGGCTCACAGACACTGCGACACCTTGATAATGCGGAAAGACTTCAAGCCTGAGAACTGAACCACAGATCAACACCACAAACAGAAAACACGCTAATCTCATACACGGATGGGGGGGCGTCACTCCCCCTAAACGCAGCTGTACCCCTCGTGGAGGTTCAGTCGATCAAACTACTGCGACCCCTCCAAGGAAGAACCTGTACGTAGTGTTCTTGGCCAAGTGCAGCAATGATGATGCCACAGATATGGCTGCAACGAGGGTTCAGGATTACGCAACAGAGACGCACTTGCGGACTCCGCGTTGCGGCGTGGGCTACTTTCGATAGCCTCACGTAGGGTTTTTACTAAGGCAGCTGCAGCTACACGTCAGCCTAAGGGAAGCAGGTCTAGCAACCCCTAAAACTCTAGAGGACCTAGGGGGAGTGGGGCAGGCTGGCAGGCACAGGCACGGCCGCAGGCACGGCCGCAGGCACGGCCGCAGGCACGGCCGCAGGCACAAACAAGGACTGCCAGAACAAATACAGGACAGTCAGGGCCCCAATTCCAAACCCGGAAATCCAGACAGCACAGAATAAGCCGAACGAGCCGCTACAGTGAGCAAGGCACCCCAACCCGAACCAGTAAGTGTTAGCACCCCAATGAAGAATGCTAAGGACCTTAGGCACGGAGGCTAACCAAGAAACAAAGTTTGAGCGCGGCCACGTTCACATTCGCACCTAGGGTGGTTAGGGTTAGGGTTCACGGTTTAGAGTGTGGATTAGGGATAGGGGTGATGGCTCAGGTTTTGAGGGGTTGTTGCAATCAGGGTTAAGGGCTTTAGGGATTGGATTGGGTTGTGATTGATGGCTTTAGGTTGGGTTGTTGGGGCTACGGTTTCAACGATTTTCGGTGAGGGTTTAGTTTGTTTTGAGCTTTCAGGTGAAGCCAATACCCAGGCTGCTGCGAAAACGACGACAGTTTTGCATTTTACGAGGAACACAAGCATGCAACTGTCAAGGAACGAAGAATCACAGCTTCGAAAACGACGATTTTACCAGCAGCGCGCGCACGCGGCTGCGGAGAGTCGGGGGTTCGGGATCCGATAACGACCACAGTTCTACATTTCACGACGATGAAATCTGCACAAAATGAAAGAGGTCCCAGGCGACCCAAACTGAGAGTCACAAGCAATCCCTCTACCTGCGCTTCTGTGCTGGCAGACCCAGGAGCAAAGGCAAAGTGCGCATGAGCTGGCTTGGCAGCAAATGTCGAAGCCCAGGACGCTGAGCCTGCGGCCTCTGTCGAAGCCAGGGCCGCTCGCTTGTTGGTCCTGCAATCGTCACGGGAAGCCGTCCCAACAACAGCTTTGATGTCATGACAAGCGCTTCCTGGCAGAGCTCTCGAGTGAAGGTGCTACCCGTGCTGCAGCAGATGCCCTCTCTACCCCGTTCTTCATCAATGGCGGCACCTTTGGCAAAAACGTGGTTAGGTTGCTGCCAAAGTTCAAGACTCAAGATTTCTCCTGCGCCTTGTTCTGAGACGGTCTTCCCTGCAAGGCTGTGAGAAAGCGATATCATTCCAATCTTTGAATTCCAGAGTCTTGCTGCCCTGTCCTGCCTTGGACACTTGTTGGGGTGCTGCCATCCGAGTCCTGCGGGTCTCTTGCAACTGCTGGGTCGCTGGCAATGCGTAAGAAACAATGGAATTGTTACAACAAATGGCTGTCCTGCCATTTACTGCAGGGGACCCCGCTTGCACTGTGGCGACCGGATGAAGCACTCGGCTGGTTCCTGACTTTGCTTCCTCCACAGGTCGCTGCCTTGTGATCGATGGGGCCAACTTCGATTGCATAGTGGAACTGGTGGAAGCTGTCTTCAACGCTCCTTACACGTGCAACACAGCGAAAGCCTACAGAATGTGGACCCCGGATGGTGCCAGCAAGGTTCCAAAAGTGTCCCCATCTGCGCGGGGCTTCAAGTCATCATGACCCACGGTCTCAAAGCGAGCCCAGCGCGAGCTATGCCTGGTGCAGGTACATGTGGCCGTCCAAGCTAGGTAGAGTATACTTGCGGCACCTTGCGCAGTAGACAAAACGTGCTCCCACCGGCTTGATGTGTCCAGCATTGCGGCATGGAGCACCTCAGGCATGGCTCAAATCCGCAAAGCCAGCTGTAGCGATTGACTAAGGCAGGAGCCTGCAATGGTCCAAGCATGACAGCTTCCCACCGCTTGCGCTCGCCGCGATTGTGCTCGGGATTTGCCTCGAGCATGCCGAGCATGCTGTTGAACCATGCCAGGCGCACGAACTGCAAGACCAACGCCTCATCAGGGTCGGCCGCAAGGGAGGGACTTACAATTATTGTAGAAATATGCATCTTCTCCACCGGCCCCTGGCCCCCTGGCCTATGTCATCCTTCACCGGCTGCTCGCTTTGGTGCTTTGGCTGCGAAGCACACATTGTTCTCCAAAGAGCTGTGAAATTAGGAGTGGGAGCTGCCTTTGCAACGCGGTCACGTCGCAGCAAGGACGCTTGCAAGTGGAGCTTGCGCTGCACGGGCTTCAATGGTCTTAGCTGTTCAACTTCTTCGGCAAGAACTCTGGGCGGCTGTACATCCTTTACGTTGGTTCCACTGCACTGGGCGGGTGTCTCCTCCTCAGGCTGCACTTGGGCTCTGGATACCGCTGCGGGTTTGTTTGCTTTAGCTTTACTGGCCGGGATTTCAAGGCTCTGAGCAGCGCAGTCTGGTAAGGGCACACGCCTATCTTCACAATGCAATGTGCCAGCCTCCTGGGTCGGTGTGGGCAGTGGCGCACAGGAGAAAAAAAGCAACAGGGAATTGAGCAACTCTCTTTTTCCTCCAGTTGCTGCCAGACCACGTTCTGAGCATGCCCGTTGGAGCTCCGCAGTGTGCAACAAGCTCAGGCCAGCCCGGAAACCTTCATCCAACGGCTGCGAGAGCCGCGACGTCCCCGAAGTGTTCATGCCGTCGCAAAAGGCTCCATCTGTTCCAAGCCAGTCCGGCTGAGCTGCAGGAATCGAGGGCTCTGAAGCTTCCGAGGTTTCGGGCTCGAGCTGCTCCGTGGGTCCGATTTCCTTGACCTCCGAAACCAGCATGTCTGTTGGAACTGTTGGAACTGTTGGAACTGTTGGAACTGTTGGAGCTGCTGGCGTTTCAGCCACAAGCACCATGGAGGGCTCCTCCAACACCTCAGGCAGCAGATTATTCGACATCTTCATCTCCCGCCCGCAGCTGGCCACAAGCTGCTCTGACTGTTCTGGCTCGGTCTCCTCACAAAACATCGAAAAAACCATGTGGACACCGCGTGTCTGCCCCAGGCAAATGGCTGTCCTCCGGTCCAAAAGGCTCCTCAGGCAAACAGCTTTTGAATCATCGAGCCTTTTGGGCAAGTCTCGCAGTTGGATGCCTTGCGCGCCACGTGCACGGCAAGCCGTGCGGTCCGCTCTGCGGTGTCGCCAGCGGCATCGAGGCCACAGGCTGCACCTCGGATGACACGCCGCTTCGTGCTACATTGCTACGTGCCCACCACAAGCACAGGCGCCAACATGCGTTTTGCAAATCCGCCAATGACAGACCCTCCATGCTCGCCGGCACCTTCAACAAAACATCTTTCTCTCTGGCTCCCTAGGATTCCACAGATCTCTCTGACATGGAGGCGTCGTCAGCTTTTTGACATGCCCGCGCACTCTGCTCTTGAATCAGCAAAAACAGACTTGCTGTCAGAGCACAGCACCTCCTCACCAGATGGTGTTGCTTCATCTGGTGTCCTGTGGGTTGCAGCAAGACGAGTGGAGTGAAAATCAGCTGAAAGGATAAGCTTTGGGCCGGCCAGGCTCGACCTGCACAATGCAGGCTGTCGCTACATCACTTCAAGCAACCGCGGTTGCGTAGCGCCTGTGGCGCCAAAGCTGCGAGGCGGCCCACGAGGTCGCTTCGGCTTCCGAACTCTGCGAGACCCCTCAAGCGGCAGGCACTGCGAAGCTCGTCGATGGGCAGGGCCTCAAAACGAGCTCTGGGGGGAGGGGAGCCGAGGGAAGGGAAGGGAAGGGAAGGTCAAAGGAGGGGGCAAGGAGGGGGAAAGGAGGTTCATGGGGTCTTTTTCGTTGTGGTCTGGCTGAGTCGCTCCAAAGCTGTTGCTGCCAGTGTGAAGCTGCCATTGCGGCTACGTGTATTTCGCGGATGTCGTCTCTCGGCAAATTAGCAGCTATTCTTTGACTGGATCGGCGGCTCTGCTTTGGAGCCGCACCTCAAGATCCCAACAAACGGTCAGTCCAGTGATGCCAGCAGCCGTGGAAGGTTGCTTTACAGGTCGGAATGACGGACTGATGGGTGATTGGTTGCAATCCCATGCATCTCGGTGAGGTGCGCGTGCGAAAATGTCAGGGTTGACGACCGTCCAGTCCAAGGCAAACTGCCGGCACAGCAGCTACTGTGTTTATGATGCACGCTGGGAACACGAGTTTCTCTTTACGTGCTGCAAATTGTGTCTCATGTTTCCCATTTTGCGTGATCCGAACTGCAAAACCGTCGAAGCAAAGTTGTGACACATGAATGGCATGACATTTTCTGCTCAGGCGTGTGACACAGGCAGTGAGATCCAAGGCTGGTTGCTCAAGATGTCACAAGGTTCAAGCACACGTTTGGGGTACGCAACTGCTCGGTTGCTTTCATGCGTTTCCATTCTGAAAAATGACATGTATCACGCGACAGAAAACTGGATTCACAAAGCTACTCCACATTGCATCAAAGCATTCCGCATCTCGGGTAAGCTGAGCACCCCTAACTGCTTTGCCAACGATGAAACGACTTCACGGGCAGCACAGGCGGATGCATTGCTGACCTCCGGGCACGACACCTTTGAAAACTAGGAAGCTGCTCCCACACATTGTCTCGTCCTTCTCACTTGGCCTCCTGTGCTTCGATGGCAGCCTGTAGGGCCTCGTTACCTCCCCGCAGCGGCGACCTGCAAGAGACAGAGCGGCGCATGCAGCGCAAACAGTCAACGCGTACGTGACCGTACATGGGATTTCGAGCAAACAGTGCCTGGTTGGAGGGATCCAAAGCTCACTCTCTCGGACACATGGTGCTGAATCCTTGCAGGCAAAGATTATCCGCCAAGCTGGTAGGCCAGGGAGAGCTGGGGGTCCTGCCTGAGAACTGCTTGGCGCAGCTCTCAACTGATTTTCTTCCAGCTCAACCAGGCGTTCCTGATAATGGCACATTGCCCCACGTAGCGCGATCCAAGATCCAAACCTTCCAACATGGCCAAGCTGCCACCAGCTTTGCCTTGCAACCTTTGCTGTCGACTCCCTTTTTGCGACAGGCTTTGCGCAGCCTAAGGTACGCGCGTAGAAGCCACCCCTGGAACCAGCAGCGACTAAGGAGCAGACTCCTTCACTGTCAGCTCATTCAACTTTTCAATGTGCGTGCCTTTCCTCTGAGAGCGTCATAGAGTCTATCAGATGAAAACCGATGCGCTGCGCAGAACTTGCATCCCTACTCTACTGCGTTCAAGATTCGTTTTTGCGTCCCAGCTGCGAGGCTGCTTTGCCTGCTCGAATCCGCCGTTTCGTACGCAGCACAGGCAGATCCGCGCCGGGTTCCAGCACTGGAAGTATTTGTGGATGCTCATGCGATCATGTAAATGACTTTGCAAATGCATGCAGCACTGGCCTTTTCTGGCACTGGGGGGGGTTCCATCTTCCTCTTCGCACCTGCTGGCTGCTGGCTCTGAGTGCAGCTCATCAGAAACCAACGTTGAGAAAAATGATCGCTATTATAACTGACTAACAAAAGCAAAAGACACAAGCGTGAACTGGCTTCTGCTCCGATTTGGCTGGGTCTGAATGCCTCGTGGACATTCGGACTTGCACGTGTCTTTGGCCTCTCCTTCAGCACCTTCAATGCAAATCAAGACTAGCATACATGAACTTTATCCTCCCCATGTCAAGTCAATCTGGTGGCCACAAACCTAGCTCCTCCAGATTAACGATGAAGGCACATGCCACCACATGACTTTGGTTAATAGCACCAGATATTGCCTGCCTCCAGTAGCTGTTGCCTTGGGCAGTCGTGAACTCAAAAGATGCTCTGATAGAGTTCTGCTTGGCAAACTGTCTTCGCAATTCATCTGGAGAACTTCCCTGTGGGGTCTTGCATGCTAGCAGCCTCCTCCAGCTGCGGCATCAGCTGGTGTTGCAACCTCCAATCTCAGCGCTTGAGGGAAGAAAGAAATGAAACAAAAGCGCACAAACCAAAAGAAATATGGCGAAGGACTATGATGAACATGAGAGATGTTGTTCCCTGCAAACTTAATTGGCAGATGTCATCATTAATCTCTGACCCTGAGGAAACATGGCAGGCTGGCCCAATAAGCTCGCCACTGAGATCAGAACCTTTGCAGAAATGTCTGGCTGAATTAGTTTGCTGTCCTGGGCCTGACTTATCGCATTCAAAACATCTAAGGCACGGGTCTGTTACGGATGAGCAGAATCCACTGAATCGGCCGTGCCAAGTGCGAGGCCTTGTGACTCGAGAACCACAGGAGCCACAGGAGCCCCATCAATTTCATTGCGGTCACCTGCAAAAGGCACCACCAGGCCCCTTCTACTTTTAGCCCTTTAGCCTGCTTTAGCCTGCTTATGCCTTCTGTTCGCTTCCGTCTGGGAGGTCTAGAGCCACGAAGACTGGACGCGGTCAGGGCGAGGAGCGCCGTTTTGGGCCCTACTGAATCTAGTGCCCAGGCATCGCACAGAATCCCATGCTCACTCACAGTGATCCAAATTGCTTTTATAACAAGTGCAAAGGCCTGGAAGATCCGTCGATTCAGGCAAACTCTCTGGCAGCGCGAGGTCACCTCGATGAAAGCGCATGAATCAGCATTGTTTTAAGCGAACAAGCTGGAGCCTCATGTCATCGGTGACTTCGGCATCTTCTGGACTATGCTTTTAGTCAGAGCTTCTGTTCAAGCCAAGTCTTGATTCGTACGAACCATGCAACCCACACAGAGGCCCGGAGTCGCACGCGTGATTGACAACTGACCGCTGCAGGCGGGCCGAAGCAGGCCAGCGGGGCCCCTCCCCGCCCCGCCTCCCTCCGTTTGCAGCTTTTGGGCAAATCATGGTGCAGCTGCGCATCCGCCTCCTGTGCCTGGTGATAGCGCCTCTGCGCCAGAGCCGCTAGAGCTTCCTGGCGGTGTGCTGACGCGCTGACCGGTTTGGTGACATTTGGTGACCTTTGCCGGTGCTTCGCTTGCGGCAGTGACCGTGTGAACCAGCGCTGAGTACAGACTGCCGGCGTCAGCGTTAAGATTCCAAAATCTCGCGCGGGCAGGGGCTAACAACCCACCGGTTGCCGATGCGTCGGTGGCCTAGTGGAGCCGGCCGCTCAGCCTCCGTGCTTGTTCTGGCACTGAGCAGCTTACTCTGAAATCTCTGGCGCCCAAGCCACTGAGGCCTACAAGGCAAGGGTTCGCACGTCTGCAAAGCCCAGCACTGCGCGGGATTGCGAGCCCTGCTGGTCACCGAAGCCTATAGCAGCTGATCCATCAATCTGATCTAGCCTTCTGCCTCCTCAGCGCATCTGAGCGCGATTGTAGCGTGCAGATAGATGCCGCAGGGCAAAACCACGCATCAACGCTGGCTTCTGCAGCAGGAGTGCCGAGTGCCGAGGCCTGGGGTCAGCACCTGCCAGCCACGCAGGCATCGAAGGCCTCAAGCAAAAAAAAGCTGTACAAGCTGGGCAGATGACTGGAAGCAGCAGGTGGGATGCACAGTGACGAAGGAGCAAGAGAGTCGTAGCCAAGGATTCCAACACACTCCCAGGAGTACCAACAAAAGGCGCCGAAGCATTGTGCTTAAGCACACCTGGGAAAGACCGCACGTCTGCACGGCTACCTGCCCCACTGCAAGTCAACAGCTCCCACATGCCCGGGTTCAGCTCCAGCCGAGCAGTGGCGGCAGACAGCACGAATCAATTCCCCGACATCTGCGCGGCCTGCAGAGCCGGGTGGAGGGCAACGGCAAAGAGACAGGAGAAGAGGGAGCGGGGCGCCCAGTTGGACGCCCGCCTCGGAGGACAGGCAAAAGTGGCCGAAGAGTATGCAGCTGGGACAATCGTAGGTCCACTCAGCCCACAGAAAGCCCGGGCATGTGCAAGCCAAATCTGCCGGAGAAAAGCCCCGCTATTGACGGCGTGACTGAAAAGCTTTCCGGAAGTCAACCTCTGGGAAGTGCTTCTGCCAGAGCTGTCGACCGTTGGCTGCAGTCAGTTCCAACCTTCT